AGCTTTGTGCATCAAGAGACCACCAACATTTTTTCTATTACAGTTATACCCCTAAACAATATTCATTCTTATAATATTGTAGAGATTATTTTCCTAAATAACACCGTATGTTGCACATTTTAACCACTTTAGCTCAACGATGTTTCAAACACACTTCTGCTAAAATTACACTTATCAAAGAAGAGGCTTGAAACTAGTGTAAAGTGCAAAAAATTGAAAATCAATCGACATATACCTTGCACGGAGTATTATATATGGAAGTTTTTGGGAAATCTATGCGTGTAATTAGTGGTGTTTGAAACTGATTGTGTTTATGTTTCTTTTTTAAAGCAGAAACCGAATATGCTTCTTTTTTAAAGAAGAAGCAGAATAAGAATCAATTTCAGATCGAAGCTGGTCTCCCCCAACTTCTAAAGAAACTGATTCTAGGAGTAAATTAGAGCACCCTGAATCACTTCTGTACATTCACATAAACACTTCAACTTCTGTTTCTGCTCCCTGGAGAATCAGAAGCAGTTTTAAGAATTGAATCGAAACACCCCTTATACTTATTTATAGAGATAACTCACAAGATCGGACAGTCGGTGGTCCATCGGGCTTGCTTATTACTGTTAGTTTAAAAAATTTGTAAAAGTATATTTTACAAATTTTTACTCTAGCATTGACTTGAAAATATCGGATAGTCGGTGGTCCATGAAAAATTTTACTCTGGCATTGACTTAGAAATATACTTTAAAAAAAAAGTAGATCACAAAATTCATCTCGATACAAAAATTCTTAGTATGGACCCATTTATTAATTACAAGCTGAATTTGCAATTTTTCATACTCCGTATCATTTTTGAATTTATTAATAGATGATGCCCGTATGAAAACTAACAGTATAATAACATCTCACAATGACGCAATTTCAATAACACTAATCATATCAATAAAGTTCAAGCTTATGAAACGGATTATCCACTTGAAAACGTGTGAAAATTGCAAAAAAAAAAAAACACAAATATATACATGAAGTATAGAGACGAACGTAGATGATCGGACGGTTGGTGTTCAATGAGTATCACCACCTTGAACACTAGAATGATAATTAAGCAATCGCCTCTGTAAGAAAAACACTAATTATGTTTTTGTAAGTGATTATATTCTTAGATGTAGTACCTTTGGAGAGGGGACACTTAATATTTAATTATAATCCGTAAATCATATGTTCCTTTCGTCCCAATATAAAAGACATATTTGCTTTTCTACACGTTTTTAGGGTGAACATAGGGATGTCAAAAAAAAAAAAAAAAAAAAAACCGACCCGCAGTGACCTGCCCTGGCCCGGGACATTTGGGGCTGGTCCGCCCCGCCCCGTCTTCCAAATGGGGCGGGTCCGCCCTGCCCTGCCTATACAATGGGGCGGGTCCGGATATTAGTATTGACCCGTGCCGCCCCGACCTGCCCCGACCCGCTCAATACATAAGCATACACACTTTCTTAAATTATACTACAAATATACTTCAACATACATATGTGTGTATACAGTAAATCATAAATTCTTTGATCTTATAATATATTAATACATATGACGGAATATCAATGTCTTCTTTATATATAACATTTTAATATATACATATGTTCAATTATTAGTATAATTAAATAGATTAACTATTCAAGTCTGAGTAATTTTTCCTTAATTTTTGAAATTTTTAGGGTATCATGAATTTGATTTAATGTATTTATTTTTAATTATTATTTAGAGATAAATTTTATGTAGATTCAATTGGTAACATCCCACAAATAAAAATACATACTAGCTAATTAGGTTATGGCGGGGCGGGGCGAACCCGCCCCGCATGGGGCGGGTCATGGGTCAACAAGTTTGGACCCGTACAGGTCACGGGGCAGACCCGCCCCGCCAAGTCACGGAGCAGGTCTGGGTCTTGCAGTACCCGCCCCGCCCCTACCTATTGCCATGCCTAGGTAAACACTGTTTAGCAATGTTTGGACACGGTTTTGCGCTGTTTGGCACTGTGTTGTTTGCCAAAAAGGGAAATGTGCCTTTTATATTGGGACGACCCAAAAAAGAAAATGTGTCTTTTATATTGGGACGAAGGGAGTATAATTTAATTTGTATGGAGGTGTATATTACAAGAAAGAGAATCACATTAGCATTTGGTGATATGCAAGATCGAGGTATATTGGTACTGTATTGTGGAAATAAAAAGGAAAGACCATATAAATAGGGAATACCCCACAAAAATACGTAGATTTAAAAAAGTTGGGCTCAGATTTATTTCAATTCTATACCATGGAGTAAAAATTTATAGCCCAACCGGCCCAATGGCCCAAAATACAGAAGCTTGGAGTAAATAAGGGATCTGGGGAAAAGGGTCAGATAGACCCACAAACTTACATAAAAAAGGTCAAATAACCCCTTATATATGAGGCTTTGTCCATTCATCGCCGTTTGAGCAGTTCCCGGTGGAATTTTTTTATGAAACTTTTTTAGCATCTTATTCATTAAATCTAGTTTACTCATACCAAATTTCAGCTAACGATTTAATCGGGAAGACATTCAAGAATTCTTAAAATAACTATTATATTACCAACGTAACAAATCGCTTTAGCATATTGGAGGTGATAACTGCACATTTATGGTGCCCTCATTGATTTATTTATATCATACATGTGGGTATATTAACCAGTGTGTCTAGCCGTTCTTTGCTACGAGATTAATGATAAGAAGGGGTTTCCCACTCTTAAAGTCTTAATTAACTGCATCTCTCTAACCGTTTTGAAAGACAATAATGTCCGGTAAAAAACAATTTTCATAACATCATGTTTCCTATTAATAAAGATGTTTTCTTTTGGACTGAAATTTGCTGGTCTGGTCTGATTTGATCTGGTCTGAATTGATCTGGTCTGGTCTGCTTTGGTAAACGTCTGGTCTCTGTGTATTTTATAACTACGAAAGTCAAGTTTGGTATCATGATCTGATCTGATCTAGTCTGATCTGGTCTGGGACCGAAAACAGTCCAAAAGAAAACATCCTAAGTCTACGGAGTACAAACAAATCAAAAATGTTTTTGAACTACATTGTGGAAAGTATTTCCAATTTACAACCCGTGATTACACAAAATATATTGAAGTTATCAGAAAATGCGTACCCAATGCAATGCTAATTGTCTTTTAAATTACGCAGTAAAAACGAATCTTATGATGATTGCTTCAAACTACAATTATGGAGAGACGGGTTAGTGACTTTTAGTTAGAGGTCAAGTGAATAACTTCATTTGTGTGACTTCAATAATAATCGGATAACATTATACTCAATAAGACAATTACTTCATGAAGCAATTCGACTTTGCATCCCACTTTTCGGATGATATTAGATATTACATCTCATTTAAAAAATGTTTTGCACTCCATTTTTAAAAAAACTTTGACTTTGCACTCATCATATACTCCCTCCGTCCCAAAATTATTGTCCCGTTTGGTTTTTCACACAGATTAAGAAAATGACACTGTAGCGACACTGTTTGACACTGTAGCAACACTATTTGACGCTGTTTTGCACTGTTTGGTATAGATTTGTTTACCAAATAAGGAAGGTAAAGAAACAAGACAATTATTTCGGGACGGACCGAAAAGGAAAGCGGGACAATAATTTTGGGACGGATGGAGTAACACTTTTGTGAAATATTTTTTTATAATAGAGGGAAAAGTCAAAGATATTTAAGTAAATGGGGTGCACAATCAATTTTTTTTTTTTTTGAAAATGGGGTGTAAAGTCAATCTTCTCTAATTCATCTAATTCATACTGGGTGCTCTTTGCGTCTGATGAACCATTGATCTCAAACATCCATTATGCTTGGTACTTTTGAATGATTGGTCGGATAACAAACAATTGCATCTACAAATGTCTTTTATATTAAATCAATTCTATTGTATGAAATTAAAAACTATCGTATAATATAATTTCATCATAATGTCATGTTTGTATATTTCAATGTTTTTTGATCATTTTTATTTCATAGAAAGTTGAGTTTTTATATACCTTCACATTTGATTTATCATTTGTAGACTGCTAAAATACATTTATTGAAGATTAAAAGATTAGAAGGTAAATGATCTGATGAGGTAGTATACAAGAAATTGCAGTTCAAATGCTCAATAATGGGTATGGTTATTTCATTCTATTGGGAAAAGTACATAAATATGACTAGAAGCAAGAGAAATTCATCCCATATGTGCGTCATTTTCTTATCACGTGCATCATATGCGAATAAATAAGAAGGGTAAATGACTTCCTATATTTAAGCTAATTAATCGAGAGTACAGTGGATGAGAAAAAGGATAACTACACATACATTTACCCTCATACAATGAGAAAATAACTAATAAAGCCATAGATGCGGAAACTCATATTCTATTAGTGACAAGGGAGATAAATTTCTCAAAAATAAAAAATATTTTTATGCTGATCCGATGGCGTGATGTTGTTTGTTAAAAAATAGACCCATAATATCATAAAAAATCTATTAAACATGTAAGTTTTTTATTTCGAAATTTATTTAATACTATCACGACTGTTTTTCTAATAAAATTGTTTAATGAAATAAAAACAAAGTTCAACATGTGTACAAGTTTCACTTTTTAACAATTTCCTTAACAATTTCTCTCTAAAAAATCAATTTCCTTAATATAACAATGCGGTGTAAGCTTATTTGAGCATGACGACAACCATGACTATTTATGCGGATTGTGTGATAGTAAGGAAGAAAATGCTAGATCGGTTGAAGGCAAAACATTTGTGAAAGGTTTGTTTCATCAATATTAATGAAAGATTTTAGAAGATTATTGACAATTATAAAATTATAAGTTCAGTAGTTTCAAAATTGTAATTTGATAATTTTGAAACTCACCTTTTGAAATGTAGTTCTCTAACAAAACATTTGATCGATTGAATTGGAATCATAATATTAATCGTAACATTGATTCAGAAAGTTGATTTCATTAATGGGACTTTCAAATTTCACATTTTTAAAAACAAAATAGATACAATATGAGAAAATTAATATCGTACTATACTAGATATGAAGTAGCAAGTATAACAATCTGAATATTGTCAAAAAAAGAAGTATAACAATCTGAAAAGAGTGGAAGTAGGACGAGGGTAAGAACATCGCACTCTTTGGGTCAATAAAATATGATTCCCACAACAAGAACATATTCACTCATTGGGTTCTGCAATCTTCCGCCGGATTCTCGTCACGACCTGGCACGCCTCTCAGATTATAGGCAGGATAGTACCCATTTCCACGTAGTGGCATCACACCGGAAGGGCTATAGTATCCGTATGATTGCGGCTGCGGATAAGATCGGTGCAGCGAAGGATAAGATTGCTGCTGCGGCGGCAGATATGATTGCTGCGATGGCGGATAAGATTGCTGCGGCGGCAGATATGATTGCTGCGGCGGCGGATAAAAGTGCTGCGACGGCGGCGGATAATAAGAATGCAGAGGAGCACCGAAATTCGACCCCCGGATACCCCCTATCCGGCCGGATTGGTTCCAAAACACGGATCCAAACATATCTCTCACAGATCTTCTGTGAATTGCACAGAACTCGTCCTGGCAAATATCCTCATCCACCGGCGGCGGCGGCGCGCATACGTGCTTCTTCTCTTTCGACCTGCGGTTACGCCTAACACAATCGTTTTCTGGTTCGTGTTCATCCGAAGGAGCAGAAGATTTCTGCTTCTCCTTCGCCTTGGATTTACAGGATTTGTTGTTATCCGCTTTGATTTTTCCGTTACAATGATCAGGTGAAGAAGCGAGGGATTTGGTAGGGCCTTTGGAGTAGGAAACGGGTTGGGCCACTTTACCCATTTTCCGGATGTGGTTGACTAGCACAGTGGGCTCGCAATTGCATCTCACGGTGGCCAACTTGTTTATTGCATCATACTCCACCGAATATACATCTACATAGAGCATGACAAGAACAATTACGATAGAATGAGCTTCTAAATTTATGATAAAACTCAAATGGGTTGAATTTGGTTGACTTTGATGAAATTTATGAAGTTGTGACTAAATGTTTAGATCTCTTGATTCACTATCACTAATTCATGAAAATACTATATTTAAAATACTCCCTCCGTAACATATATATGTTCCCATTTGAAAAGTAGGTAGATTAAGAATAGTGAATGATGATATAAATTATTGAGGGTATGATGGGAAGATAGTGAAATAATGTGTTGGAATGAAGGATAAATCCAAAAAAAGTAGGTGTAATAGTGTATTATTTTTAAAATTATTGAGGGTATGATTGGAAGATTATGAAATGGGAAGATATGAATGTTACATTCAAAAAAGGAAAGTGGGAAGATATAAATGTTACGGAGGGAGTATGTTTTAGTAATAAAATAAAAAAATACTCCCTCCATTCCATTGAACTTTGCCAATTTTCCCTTTTTTGTTGTTCCAAAACACTTTGTCACTTTTCCATTAAAGCAACTAATTTGTGGTTCTGCACATTCCTCTCTCCTCTGCACAAATCTCAACCACAGAATTTTTAGTATTTTTATTTTTCACCTACTTTACACCTGGCAAAGTCCACCAGGACGGAGGTAGTAAGAAAATATAGCTAAAATGACCTTCTACATCAATTTCAGTCATTACAACCACAAAAGCAATTCAAGCCTCACATTTCCGTATTATTACACAATTCAACGCGTGAAATTAAAAGTTACGTGTTTAGTGAAAAAATCGACTAATAAGCCTAATAATTCAAAAAATAAAGTTAGCTCTAAAGTACTCTGTATCGACTTGATTTGAATAATTAAATCAGATCATGTCTAATTAGATCTGTTTAATTCTTTCTAGTTGATGTATTTAAAACTAATCTTTAAGAGGTGACATGTTTTTCGGTTGTCCTTGTTAGTACTTTGAAGAGGTGACATGTTTTTCGGTTAACTAAAATTTTATGATCTGATCTAGTCTAATCTGATTTGGTGGGGTCTGAAATAGTCTGATCGGGTATATATTTGGTCTATGCGTATTTTATAACTATCGAAGTCTCGTTTGTTTAAATCTAGTCTAGACTTTTTTTAGTCTGTTTAAGTCTATTCTGATTTGTTCTATTCTTGTATGGGGCTCAAATCCATCCAAATAAAAACATTATTAGTAAAATATGAGATTTTTTCCTGAAATATTAAACAAAAATATCATCAACAAAAATGTGATTCTTATCACTTTTAGTGAATATAATTGTGTTCAAAACTAATTACATCGTACTTAGTAACTACACTTAAGATACTCCATATATAGGAACATAGGAATTACTTTCAAAATAACCTAAGAGGCTAAGAGTAATGTGAAAAAGTATGGGAGGAAACAGGAAAGTACTACTGAACTTCGTATTATATTAGCTGTCAGGGAAATATAAAATGAAGAGTATGTATTTGAATTTAATTCGTGACTAGTCTGTGACAAACTATCACTGACCAAATCCATGATTAAAATCTGTGACTACAAGTGTTTCTTTTGTAGTGGTTAATCTATTATTACTAAATAGAGGAATGTTCAGGTCCGAACATTCCTGGTCCGAACACCGTTCGAACATGGACGTTTGGAGTCTTTCCCGATGGATGTTTTTGATGAAATTTTTTGAGCATGTTTCTCATCAAGTCTAGTTTGTCCATACCAAATTTCAGCTCAAAATTAGATCGGGAAGGCATTCAAATGATTTTTTGAAGTTGACTGCGTCAAAATATACATATATAAATGCAGTCAATTTCAAAACATGATTTGAATGCCTTCCCGATCGAATTTTGAGCTGAAATTTGGTATGGACAAACTAGACTTGATGAGGAACATGCTCAAAAAAATTCATCAAAAAATTCCACCGGGAAGGACCCCAAACGAGGATGTTCGGACGGAGGGTCATGTCCAAACGTGGGGACCTGATCATTCTTGTTACTAAATATATACGGAGTATATATTTACAATAATAAATCTAAAAAGGAAAAATTGAAAATAATAATCCCAACTATTGCTGGTCCGCTGAAAATAATCCCAACTATTGGTTATTTTTGTATAATCCCAACTATATATACTATCCGCCAATAATGGTCCATGACCATATATTACCTCTATAAAAAGTGAATTTCAAATAGAAATTAAGTGTAAAAATTAAAAGTTGAGATTATTTATAGGGATTACTTGTTATATCTTATCTCATCCACTTTAGAAACTACAAGAATTTATTCATAGGGACCATTATTGGCGGAAGGTCCCTAAAGTTGGGATTATTCTGTAATAATCAATAGTTGGGATTATTATGAGCGGACCGCCAATAGTTGGGATTATTACTATCAATTTTTCCATCTAAAAAATCAAACGAGATCAAAATAACGATCATCGAAATAAAATCGGCAAATACATTCAAAGAACATAAATCCGGCGAGGTATTAAATTTACCATTCAGCTTTAATAACGCCTTCTCCAATTTGAATCGACAACCCGAGCAACAAGTCACGTCTACTTTTAGCACGCAAATCTGTTACGTTTAAACATCATCATTAGTACGTAATATTTAAGTACTTAACCTTTACACAAAACTGCAAATTTGATTATTAATTTATTACATTGGCGGGTTTAGAATGAATAAGTAATGCAATAAAGTATACACTTTAGCTGAAGTTATAAAATGAACAAATATGGAGTATCAGTATCTAATAAACGTTTCATACTTCGTCAAAAAAAAAACCTTTCATGCTTTATTTCATGTGCTATTGTTGTGTTTTGTAATAATTTTTCACTCCCTAAATATTTGTACCGTTTTAGCTTTCATTATCCCTTTCTTTTTGTTACTCCCTCCGTCCCACAATGTTTGGGACAAAGGAGTGTGACACAAATTTTAAGAAAAAGTGGAATTGTGTGGTTGGTGTTGAGTTGATAAAGGGTGAATAAAGTAAGAATGAATTGTAACCACCCAAATATTGCCAAATATGGTATGGGACAAACTTAATGGGACGGACGAAAAAGGTAAAATGGGACAAAGTTAGGGGGACGGAGGGAAGTACTTGTTTGCGTATATGAATTTCCCGCACTAAGTACGTAGTTTTTTAGTAACGTTGTTCTTACTTATTCATAATGATAATAAAGTACCTTTAAAATGATTAAATTCAAATACATAGTCTCTCCGTCCTGCAAAATAGTTCATGTTTTTTTTGGATTGTCCCAAAAAATAGATTTCATTTATCTTTTTGGAAAGTTTTGCGTGTCTCACTTTCATTTACTTTTTTTCTTACTCAACCACAATCATAATGATACATTTCTATTTTATTCCTACTTTTTTAAATTTCAATCAAATTCAATGCGAGAAGTATTTTATGAGACAGAAGATAGTACTTCGTATTATAATCAGTGTTTGCGGTTGCTTAAAAAAAGCGCTTTTCAGCTTTTGGCTTAAAAAAAGCTAAAAAGAGTGTTTTCAAATGACAGTTTCTGTTTAAATTAATCACTTAAAAGCTAAAAGCTGGAAGCAGGTGGAAGGGTGCTTTAAACTGCTTTTCACTTTTTCTATTACACAAAAAGTACTTATTTTACCAAACATTACCAACTTTTACTTTTTCAGAATCACTTTTTTCTCAAACACTACTAACTTTTGGCCGGTCCTGTCCAGTTTTGGGCCTATGGGCGAATTACTATTTTGACCTTATTTTCAAGACAAATAGTAAATTATACTTCAAGTAAAAACTAATTAAGGAGTATATTAAAATCAGGAGAAATTACTCTAAATATGACTGAAAATGTTTGTGTATTCCAAACTAAGATTATCATGTTTTTATTCTCTAAATAGAAGTAATTACTGTCATATTTTGACAGTATCATATTTTACACGTGGTAGTATTTTCCGAACATGACAATAATTACTCATATTCAGAAAATAAACACATGACAGTTCTATTTCGAAATTCTCAAAAAACAATTACTCCTATTTCAGGAATTGTCCCTACAAATATCTAATAAAGGTTACAAAATAGAGATGAAATTCACCCTCATTTTATTTGAATTGCATATTTGGACAAAATTAACAACACTAGTATCACAAAAGAACATTGTGAAGTAGAATTATCAATAATTGCTTTATAATCAATCTTTTCCAAGATCACATGTTCAATATTTAAAATTGCTAATCCATTAAGTTTTTTTAGGCATAATAGATAATTGGGATGATGTTTGAGAATTGGGAGGCACTGGCAATCCAAAGACAATAATATAAATTGGTAATTTTGTAATTAAAAGAATAAAAAATCTTAAAGGCTAAAAAGATGTGACGAGACGTGCTTTTATTGATTCAACAACAAATGTGTTGACTTAAAACCAACTATATTTAAAAATCAAAACTAAATTTATATTCTTTTTTAAAACTTGTCTAGCTCTGTTCAACACTTTTTACTTATGCTTTAATAGTCTCAAAGTGTCAACACATATTACACATTAGACCTAATTAATTAATTGAAATTATAAATAAAAAAGAAGCCTACTCTGATTATATATAAAGAAAAAAACTTGGGCTTAATTTTCTTTCTACTTTTTTTTGGGCCTAAGACGGTCGCCCCTGTTGCCCTCCCCCTAGGACCGGCCATGACTATTAATCACCTTTTCCAAAAATTACTTTAAAAAATCACTTTTTTTAAAGTTGAAGCAATGACAAACACTACCATACAACATTTATACCAGTATAAACAATGACCTTTTCAAACCTTTCTAACTTTTTCTAAAAGTAAATATAATCGAATATAAATTTATATGCCCGCAACAATCACCTCACACAACGTCACCACGACGACAGATACTACGTATAACCTAAATAACATGTGAATCTCTAAACTATAAGTCTATAATAACGTGTTATTCCATTCCATTCGACCAGACACCCTAAGCAACAATTAAAGTCCACTTTCAACACAAAACTATAAATTTAATGCTAATCCTTAACATGATCATATTAAATTAATTAAATAACATGTGAATCTCTAGCTAAACTGTAGCAACGTGTTATTATATTCAATTTGATCATACACCATAAACAACAATTAACGACCACTTTCAACACGCAAATCTATAAATTTAAGAGTGATCGTCAATCCTTATTTAACTACTTATTTTCCCAAAGGGAAAAATGTCAAATAAGTCCTCAAACTTTCATAAAAAATCAATTAAGTCCTTCTGTAGGAGACTCTGTCCGGTCGTCGCGATTTGCGGCGGTTCCCGATGGAATTTTTTGATTAAATTTTTTGAGCATCTTATTCATCAAGTCTAGTTTACTCATACCAAATTACAGCTAAAAATTTAATTGGGAGCACATTCAAATTAATTCGAGAACGCAAAAATGCGCAGTCATCTTCAAGAATTAATTTGAATGTGTTCCCAATTGAATTTTTAGCTGAAATTTGGTATGAGTAAACTAGACTTGGTGAATAAGATGCTCAAAAAAATTCATCAAAAAATTCCACCGGGAACTTCCCCAAATCGCGACGGCCGGACAGAACCTCCTATAGAAGAACTTAATTGACCTTTTTATGAAAGTTCGAGGACATATTTGACAGTTTTCCCTTTCCTAAATAACACTGTATGTTGCCCATTTTAACCACTTTAGCTCAACGATGTACCAAAAAACTTCAGCTAAAATAACACTTATCAAAGAAGTTCTAAACTAGTGTAAAGTGCAAAAAAATTGAAAATCAATCGACAAATACCTTGTACGGAGTATTATATATGGAACTATTTTGGAATTATGCGTGGCTATATAGAAACTCACAGGATCGGACGGTCGGTGTTCCATCGGCTTGCTAGCTGGAACATACTATAGCAATTTTTTGTAATATAGTAATTGACTAATTGTTATATCTCTAAAAAGTATATAAACTGTACTCCGTAGTAATTAAGCAATGGAGAGGGGCACCGAAATATACATATTTTGGAGAGGAGACTCGGTGCTTTGTTATCATTGTTTCATATATACGATAGTACATATATACTCCGTAGAAGCTGGGGGGGGGGGGGGGGGGAATCATATCAATAAATGGAAGGTGTACACTTAAGGAAGTCAAATTAGGTATATATGGAAAACTTATATGATTCATATCAATAAATGGAAGGTGTACACATAAGGAAGTCAAATTAGGTATATATGGAAAACTTATATGATTAAGGAGTACTTATTATGAGGTAATAAATATGGACCTATTTGTTTCAATAAAGCGTACGTCTATTCAGGAAGCGTATTTTCTATTAGCTTTGATATTAGTTCTCTAAATGCACAAACCCGTAATTTCTAAATTATTGTAAATTCACGTACTTACAAATTCGATTTTGTAATTAATAAATATGTTACATACATAGTATTAAGCACATAGTATTAAGGATTGGCTTAGAAAGTATACCTTAAAAAAAGGTAGATCACAAATTTCATCATGGCCGTCAACTTTTCTATCACAAATAATACATCTCGATACAAAAATTCTTACTATGAACACATTTATTAACTACATGCTTCAGAATGATCGAACAGTTACATAAGTTAAAATGCTGAATTTGCAATTTTCCATATCATTTTTGAACTTAGTAATAGATGATGCCGAAAACTCATAGTATAACATGTCACAATGACGCAATTTCAATAAATTAAAACAAATCACATCAATAAAATTCAAGCTTATATTAGCTGTATATTTTAGATTATTCTCCAAATCTTTAGATTACACTAGAAATATTCTCCAAATATGGTGTAACCGAAGCATAGCAAGAATATTTTTGTAGCTAATTTTTAGGATCTATTTTAGGAACATCTCATGTATAAATATTCAGTAATATAGACGGAAGAATTTAGGATCCTAATAATTTTTAGGATCTATTTTCCCAAATTACATGCTTTACTTTAGCTTATGAAACGGATTATCCACTTGGAAAACATGCGGAAATTGCAAGAGAATAAGAATATACGGAGTATAATTTAAAGTGACATATAAACACAAAGTATAGAGATAAACGTACACGATCGGACGGTTGGTGTTCCATGAGTATCGCCAGATGAACACTAGAATGATAATTAAGCAATCGCCTCTGTAACAAAAACACTAATTATGTTTTTACGAGTGATTATATTCTTATAGGCAATACATTTGGAGAGGGGAAGCTTTATACGATAGTATTTAAGTTATACGTAGCATAATAATTATAACCCGTAAATACATCCGATAGTATATAATTTATTTTATATGCAGGTTATATTAAAGGAAAGAGAATCACATTAGCATTTGCTGATATGCAAGATCGAGGTATATTGGTACCCTATTGTGGAAAGAAAAAGAGATATTACCCAAAATGGGACTTAAAAAGTTTGGAAATTCCAAAATAGGACTTCCATGTTTTTATTTCCAAAACAGGACTAGTTACTGTCATGTTTTGGCAGTACCAGACTTCAAATATGACAGTATTTTCCAAATTCGGCAGTAATTAGTCTTATTTTGGGAATAAAAACATGACAGTCCTATTTTGAAATTTTCAAACTTTTTAAGTCCCATTTCGGAAACTTTCCCAAAGAAAAAGGAAAGACCATATAAATAGGGAATACCCCACATAAATAAGTACAGATTTAAAAAAGTTGGGCCCAGATTTATTTCAGTTCTATACTACGGAGTAATAGGTTACAGCCCAACCGGCCCAATGGCCCAAATACAGAAGCTTAGAGTAAATAATACAGTTAGCACCGTAGCAGACTCGGAGACTTTAGCAGCACTCCCGTTTGTAAGGTTTTACGGCCGGAAACGCCTGGGTTTAACGACGGACGACCGCCTGTTCTCGCCGGCTCTCCTTTCTGGGAAGTAGGAAATCGGCCCTACGTCCCGACCGTCCTGCGACCAGTTCGAGCTCCGGACACTATCTCGTCGGCTCGCCCTACTCAGGCTTCAGGTGCTCCCGAATCCGTACTCCTCCCGTCCTCGGTCCTCCGACCTCCCACAGTCCTGCCTCTTAACCAGTAAGTAGTTACCCTTCTTCCTTATTTCTTAATGGCTTGCTTAATTGTTTTTAATTTTTCTTCAATTGATTGATATGATTATATGATTAGTTAATAATTAATTGATTTTATTAATATTTGATTGGTCTTATTCTTAATTGTTGATTACTTGACTGTTATCTATTGAGATTTGGTATAACCGTACTATAATATGTTGATTTTGTCAGCTTAATATTTTCAGTTATAATTAAAATTATAAACTTAATTAATTTTGAGGTGTAATAGAAATGGTTGAATCTGGATAGAAGAAAGAAAAAGAGGATAATACTACGTATTAAGTAAGTCGTCCTAAGCAAAAAATGTTTGATGGAAAAGTTTGTTTATGTGAAGAAGTCAAATCCCGAGTGTGTTCAAAAAGTTCGGGGCGTAGGATAAAAGAGCATAAAACATAAGACATAATATTTATAAATCAACAAAAAGAGTTTCTAATCAACATTAGATATTAAAGCAAAATATTATTTTCTAATAATCACATTATAGTACCTTTAATGATAGCATATTCACAGAAAAAATATTTTTGCTCGTGTTTTAATTACATCCATATAAGACATATATCAATAAATCTAAACAAGTCAAGAAAACAAAAAGAGTTCATGGGCAGAGAAGTACCTGTTGTTTTACAAGGCTTGAATGGAAATAGAAATAAAGATAGCCTTCATCAGTAACCGAAAACACACATGTGACAATTCATGAGACGAAACTAGGATTAGGACACATTCTGCCCTCTATTGTATTAATGATATTTTTCAGCTTATTAGATCATCCTTTCAATGATATTTACCTATAAAATCATTTACTCATCACCCACTTTACTTGAGATGATTCATTTTCTTCATTGCCATATGTGTACATATGAATATTTAGCACTACATTATTAGAGGAAATTGTTTTTAACTACGCCATGCTTTTAATCTCATCTTCATTTTGTGTGGTCATGTGCAATCCTAAGTCCTAACATCCGAACTGTTGCTTGCCAAGTGACGTTACTGACATATTTACCACTAAAATTTACAGATGTCTATCAACTTAAAATACGCTTGGTGGATTGACGTTGATATCAATAGAGTTTGAAACACTCCAAGAGATTGACATTGAAAGTTTGGTAGATGACTTTACATCTAAGAATGTCTCTTTTTAAATGAAATGTACTTCATTAATTAATACTTTTACTTTTTACTATAATGGTAACTAGTATTGTACCCGTGCGATGCACGGGACACATTATTTTTATATTTTATGTATATTATTTTTGAAATGATAATATTATACTATTTCCGTCCCGGTTTAAGGTTCACATCATAAAAAGTGCACGATTATGTAAACAACAATCAAATAAGGTAATTTGAGTATGTTGTGAAAAATGTTTTTGATGGATATATAATATTGTGGGGTCATTTAAAATGGAAATATTAAAATATTAATAATCCTAACGTTAATTAGAGTATTTGATGAATAAATTACGGAGTATTATTTTAGAATGTTAATTATTTCTTATAATTGAAATTAGAAATTTATGTGATACGTGGGAACGTAAGAACCTTAAAGGGAAGGAATCTGACCTATATAGATCTATTTACCGTATAGGAAAGTCAAATTTAATAAGAGAAAATAATAATTGTTCCACAAGAAAGAAGAACCAAACTATTGACACTTAATTACGTTTTAAAAATAGAGCAGCCTTGTAGTCAAAGTTTCTTTATAAGTATACCCCGTATATGTATTACCTGTGTGTAGTGAAAAAATATACGGAGTACATTTCAACTGGGTGGCATGTTAATTGGCTTTCATTGAGGAAATTTACATGATGACAGCATCATGATATCCTCCCAAGTACTCTTTGTTCTCCATTTTTCATTAAACATATCTTTTACCTATACAGTACGTAGTTTTGAGGGGGATAGTAAACAGTAGAATTGCAAAATAAAAAAGGAAGTAATGAAAAGAGCTGCCGCATATCTTATACAGTAATAAAAATGTAAAAATGTTTTCAAACGGGTAAGGGAGCCCATCTGAAACCGACGTAGAACTCACACAATGTCTGGCAAAACTTTGTAATAGAAGAGTTCAGTAAAGATTGCATGCCTCAGGGATAGATAAACCTTCATCATGTCCTCATAGTTGGAGAGCCGTGTAATATGTGGCTTTGGACTTTTCCACTCACGGCTTTATACAATAAGCTCGATCGGCAGCCTGTATGTGTTCCAATGGATCTGATGATGTCGTTATTTCCCAATGATAAAAGAGTGCCAGAGATCGAAGCCGGGAGACACGACAACAGGAAGGTACGCCGCCTTGATAATGTAAAGGGGTTAGGGGGTGTTCCAACTTCCAAGCCTCTGCATCTCCTCAAACAAATGACCACATTTATGGTTCAGAAGTCAGAACACTGTGGTATGCATGTGGATGCCACCAGCCAAGAGCTTGCTCTGGTGCTTGGATCTCAAGTTCTCAACCATGTAAAATACTCTGTACTACGTAATTGTTTTCATGGAGCTATTAATTGTGCGACCAAGGTTGGATGTTGTTCCAGAATATCCACAAGTTAAGTAGTTGCAGTTATAAGTTATAACCGTACGTATATATACACATTTAAACTAAAGAAAGCTTAAAGTCAAAAATATTCTTGAAAAGGTGTGGTAATATACTGCTATGCGCTCTTCTCGTTTTGAATTGATAGCTTGAGTTTCATTTGATGGCAGCATCTATATAAAGTTTCGAGTGCGATAAAACTGAATAGTGGAACTGCCATGTCAAGTATATGTGTAAGTTGTGGATTTAACATGAAAGCGTTGTGGATATCCACGTGTTTGCAGCTGAGAATATCTAGGATTTTGTGAGCGTGTGTATGTTTGAGGAAAACTGTACTTAACCGTCTGTTGACATGTGTATTCTTTCAATGGCCAGATTGTGCCTGAGTTTTCTCACGATTGAGCTTTTATATATATAAAGATTAGTAACTTATATTTTAACACATTATCTGGAATGTATCACTATCATCATCATCATCATCATCATCATCTTTATTTATTTTCTTTTTCGGTTTGTATTAGAAATGATGATCCAAATCATTTTGTTTTACAGGGTCCCCATTTGCTCAGGACCGGCCGCGCCACAAACCTTTGAGATCATTAGGTTAAGTGTAGAATGAAGTTAATATCAGGGAGAGTAATTTCATCAAGGGCGGTTTCCCTCTCGGACGCCGCCACTATCATATCGAGCTTCGCCGCCTCGGAAACTGGAGCTTCCGATGCCATATCAGTATATGTTAGACGCGCTGCTGATGCATTCAATCAGCTGGCTATGTTTCACAATCTCTATAGTTCCGGGCCTGTTGGAAAGGACCATCCCCGTGATGAGAACCAGCTGAAAAGTTTGAGGAGTGGGGCAGAAGAAGTAGTGAAGTCTGAGGAATGCCCAGAAATGAATCATCATAAATGTAAGAAGAAGAAGAAGCCAGGGAACCGCGATTCAGATATCAAAAGCAATGATTTGGTTAAAACAGACCTTGACTCTGCTGCCGCTGCCACAATAGAAGATGTCCGGGATAAGATGAGTCATCGTGCTGAGAAGGTGAAGGCTGAAGGAAAGGTAAAGGAGGTTGAGAATGTGAAGACTGAAAGCAACTCAGTTGAGGGAGATAGTAGAAAGAAGGGCAAGAAATGGAAAAAGGCGGAGGGGGAGACTTTGGTGGTTGAGACCAAGAAGAGGAAGGTTGAAGAAATTGATGGAGGTGTAGAGAGCAGTAAGAAGAGTAAAATGCAGAAGAGAGAAGGGAAATAATTTGGAATGGAAAGGCCAGAGCTATTGGTAGCTAATCTGCCTACATGAACTTATAGTTAGTTACTTTCTGTTTTATTTTGAATGATGATCCTTTTCTCCTTATCTCATGAATCAAATTGCTTTTCTTAGTTAGTTAGCTGTCTCTCAAAGCAAGCAGCAGAATATTTCACACTTGCCAAAGATCGGAAGTTAGTATGGATGGATAGAGCGGAGCCAGTGTGTTTATGCACTTGTAATGCGGTGTGGTGTTTACTAAGTGCTGCTGTGTGATCTTATTTTTGTATTACAGGATGATAGTGGAAACCTAACTTCACTATAAATATTCACTATCTTGAATTGAATTTTGAAATATTCAATTTTGAAACCAATGCTGCAGGCTGCTTTTGTATGTTGTATGCTTGCTGCATAAACTGCTGCTAGTGCCGCTCTGATGAAATCGTCGATGTATGGAGTGACAATTGCGCTGGATATCTCATTTACCCTTCCCCGTTATACGGTTAAACCGTTAAACCTTTAGTTCTATCAAGTACTTTGAATTCAATAATTCTATTATTTTATCACACATCTTGTGATTTTTTACACTACTTGTTGGTTGGTCTTAAGAGCATCCCTAATGCTTGGATGTCTAGAAATTAATAGGTTTTCTAATACATATAGTAGGAAGTGTGATGACCAGATATTAAACTACCAAAGATGCCTCCAAATTCCAATGCGCAAGTGCGCAACATCTCACTGCCAAGCCTAATATCTACATGGAATTTAGTCATTTTCATTTTTCATTTTCATTTACCCCAGTGCACATAGAGACTGTTTCCGGATGACCCATAGTGAAAATCGTGTCCAAAATTACATGGACTGACTGTTGCTTTATAACAAAGAAGCGCCGACAGTTTAGTGAGCCATTTTGGTTTATTCCATCATATTCTCAAGCCAAAAAATAATGAATCTTTGGCTCCATTGCAAATGATGGAAAACCATTGTTCTTAAAATAATGAATCTTTGGCACCATTTTTCATTAAAATGGAAAACCATTTTAGTATATTAAAATAATACTACGTACTAAACTTTAATATATATTGTATACACAGTATAGTAGAAGCTTTCACTTTAATATATTTAGTATATTTTGTACTACTCCAATGTTCTTGCATACATTAAAAAGAAGCTTTCACCTTTTTCTTGTACACCACACATAACGGTGAACCATGGAAGCACTAACGTCCCCCGACTGGTCCAAAACGACGAAAACCAAATCCCCAGTTGTGCCTCTCCAACTTGTAGTCATGAAACGAAGAAACGCTAGTCCACGACCGTTCCTCAGTGCGATGGTCTCCATTTCAGGGGCGAATAATCACCATACCACGATGATCTAATTTTGTTTCGTTCTTTGCTCAACAGGAGGGGTCGTTGTGCCTAGTTGTCGGAGAGAGAGCTCTACATTGCACTGTGTCAGGATAGACGTTGTGGGAGCACTCGCCCAATGATTTCTCCGATTTCAGGAAACTTTCTATGGATCAACTGTCCATGTACTCCATCAGAAACGTGATGTCACCGCTGAGAATCTCGGTTGTCCCTTAGCACCTGATCACTTGTGGCGAGTCCATGAAGCGCATGATCTGGCGGTGGACGGTGAGTTCAATGTTGCAATGCACAACCTTCATGACATTCATCAATGGTGCCGAACAACTGAAGGCCGAATGCGGTACCAGTAATCTTCTTTCATGGAACACTGTAGTGGCGAATCCAACGATGAAATCCTATCTTCTACCATGGAACACTGTAGTCAGCATGTTAATGAGCCTTTCTACACTCACATAGTCCTCTTCATGGTGTTCAATTATTTTTTCCAACACATCATTGAATGAGAGACTACATGCATTGGAAGCCAACTTTAATCCACAATGTCCCTATGGATGACATATTACATGGTACACTTATTTTCACTAGAGAATTGCAGTTGCTCTAAATTCAAATTAGAAACTTAGGTTAACTTACAAAGTTATGGAATAGAGATCAAACATAACATGACCTAAGTAGCACTCTCTTGTTATACATAATGCAGGGAGGGTACACTGAGTTTCCACTATCATCATGGGTTCAATTGCGCCCCTTAGGGGAGATGGGTGTCTTGCTTCCCATTATTCTCCTTACCTTCATGGAGTACCTCAAAGATTGAGAAGTTAGATAAAGATAATAAAGATTGACACAAATTATAAAATATTACAGAAGCACGCATAAGTCTCATCATCGGAATTATAAAAAAAATGCTACTGTACTACTTTGGCGAATAATTTCAATTCGGCAGCGACATCAGCGGGCTTCGACATTGTTTTCGTCTTATTTTAGAAAATTAACATTTTTAATCCTATTTTAGTAAAACTCGCTTTTATTTACTTACGCAATAAGTATAATGATCTGCCTCCATTTCAAAAAAAAGTAAAGTTAGATATTTATGTTTAATTTTCTTTGTACTACGTGTTTTATACTTTATTGCTACTTTTGTTTCAATATGTATTTCAACTCATTAGAAAGTAATTCTTATTTTTATAATTCTTACATTAAAGAACTTGTTTGGGGAAGTATTCTAGAATAGGGGTATAAATAATAAAAGCATTACATATGAAATTTCAAAATATCAATAATATTTTTACTCTAAATAGGATTAATTATTATCACCTTGAAATCATAATATAATAATTTGTAGCAGGTAAGCACTAATATGAGAGTTACTACTCCTATTTCGGAATTTGCATTGGCATTATTTTAACTCCTATTTGGCCAAGTACCTTATGGTCTGATGACATCACTGTGGTACTTCCAAGGAGGAGGTCACATGTTCGAATCCCATCCCAGTTCAAAGATGTTGGCGTTAACAATGAGCAGATACTATATACTACTATTAACAAGGAAGTGAGTTAGAAAGGATTGTCCAAAAACTCCTATTTGAAGCAACTTTTATTTTCTTTTTTAAGTAAACTCATGATAGACAATCTCATACATATAGGTTATGAAATAGACCGACAAGACCTACTTTGAACAATGGACACTCGCGCATGACAAAAATAGGCCTTAGAACAACACTTCCCCATGAGCATAAAAGGCTAAGCAAGGGCCTCGGACCATGATAGTGAAGAAGTGGCACAAGACTTATGTGGGCTTTTTCTAGGTAGGATGAAGGTAAAAAGAATGTCCAAATTGAACTATATATGTGTGTGTTTAAATGTAAATGATGTATATGAAAATAGAATGTATTTATTTTGATTAAACCATCCTACCATAACCTCGAACTAAAAACTGACAAAACATTATCAAACTCCAAATCCGTGTAGGCTAAATTATTAGGATTTTCAAGGATCTCGAATTGTGCAGGTAAGATGAATTTTCTTGAAGAATAGATGTTGACACATACTCCATCATGTCTCTACAACCTAATAAGCATGAATGGGGGGAAGCCTATTTTAGGTCTAAAAAATTGATTGGTGGTATTTGTAAGTCTCTACAACCTAATAAGCATGAATGGGGGTAAGCCTATTTTAGATCTAAAAAATTGGTTGGTGGTATTTGTAAGCTTAGTTCACATATGCACCGTGCTTAAAAATTTGTACATCTTTCAGCTTCCCTTAACTTATTTCCCTTATTACGCAACCTACGTCTGCCTCCGTTAGTATGCCCACAACCGCTCAAGCCACGTCGTCTACCATTTATCTCTCAGTTCGTCTTTACCAGTCCGCTTAGGAGCTATATTTATTTATTTCTGCAAATCGCTCCTTCTTCTCTGCAGTGGAAGTAATGGAAATACATAAGACACTCTCATCTTCACCCGGTCATATAAAACGTATATTCTTGGATTGGCAAACTTTTCCCCTGCCTATTGCTCACTCTTCTCCTGGTGTCTTTTATCCATTTCCCCATATTTTTGTTTGTCTTTTTATTCGCCTTCCTTTACTTAAATCAAATTACACAAACACATTTGAGTAAAGATGAAAAAACCGGACTCTTGCATCCAACAAAGTTGAAGTTTGTCAAACCAAAGCAATTCACTCCTAAATTACACAATATTTGGGTGAAAACCTTACTTCCTAACCCGTTTCCCCTGTTTTTATGTTTTGGGAAAAAAGTATGGAAATTTAATGTTTAAATTGTTAATCGTAGATTACCACTCACCAATTGGCTTGATATACTTAGTCTAATATCCATTTATGTTTGGGGCTACGATGAAATGAGCCTACCCAATTTCATTTCACCAATTGTTTTTTCATCTATACTTCAATTTTAACAGGTTTAGATGCCCTTTTGTAGAATATATATAAGTTCACTAATCATCTTGTTCAATAGTTCAGCTTTATTTCAATGACATTAACTAAGTTATGTCAACATATATATAGGATGTTTTTACTTGGACTGTGATTTGCTGGTCTGGTCTGGACTGATCTGGTCCGGTCTGGTTTGGTCTGGTAAGGTCTGGTTTCTTTGTATTTTTATAACTATCCAAGTCTGGTCTGATTTGAACTGGACTGGTCTGGTCTGGGACAAATTACGGTCCAAGTTAAAACATCCATTCAAGGATGGTGAAAAAACAAGTTAAGCCATATGATTTTTTTTTTTGTAATGGGATGTACTTTTTTTTTGTTTTGTAAAAATGAGTATGGCTATTCAATCATTTAACATGATTCTGTAAAGGATGACACCCCATCCCTGAGGGTCCCCCAATACCGACCGAACGGCACGTTGGGAGGATGTAAATTGGACTATAATCACAATCTGACAGATAGAGAGTGGGGCTCTGTCCCCGGTACTTGCAGAGGCCCTATGCATTTTTCAGCATAGTAACCCCTCATCGCAGTTGCCGTGATTCGAACCCGAGACTTAACCCTTGTGGCACTCCCTCGCTACCAGTTGAGATACGCCCACCGGTATCATTTAACATGATTCTATTTTTTAGGGGATGTAAATTTTTTAGATTTACGTATAATAATCGGGCAACCAAAGCAAAACCTCGAATACTACTTGTGGCTTAAATCGATGCTCCCAAATGTTTTTTCTTTCAGAAAGTTAAGCATATTTAATTATTTCAACAGAAATGACTGAAATTGATGCTCCCTCAAGATTAGGATTAATTTGGTACGATAAGATTCTCACTTTTCTATAATGGATTCACTTTTATTTACTGGGATTGATTACAACTTGAATTAGAAAATGATTTGGGGGTTCAGTTGTGGTAGATTTCAACTCTGGAGTATTTTCATTCAGTCTGTCAATCTGTGTGTGCTAAACTTACGTCATTTTAGATTATGGCTGCTCCATAAAGTTATGTCATTTTAATATTTTGGTTATTAATGCAAATTAAAAATGGTTGAGCTCAATGAACAACATGTCATTCTTTAGGAGCATACTGTAATATCCAATTTAATTGAGCTACGACAAGGTTATCGGAAAGTTGATATCACACAGTCCTACTCTAGCATAACAACTGAAGAGGTTTTTAACTAACGCTTAGCTTTCTGTATCTTCTTCGATTCACCATACG